ACAGACAGGCGACCAAGGCAGCCTAAAAGAACTCTGACTCTGGTTCTGAGTCTTTTCTCTAAGCTCTGGTTCTCAACTATGGGTGACTTTGCTTCCTGGGGCCATGTGTTAATATTCTGAGACACTTTCTGTGGTGGTTTAAATAGGTATGGCCCCCACAGATGTGTTTGAATGCTTGGCCCATAGGGAGTGGTACTATTAGGAAGTGTAGCCTTGTTGGAGGAAGTGTCGCTGTGGGGGCAGGCTTTGAGTTTCATACTGTTCAAGCTATGTCCAGTGTGGTTCAGTCTCCTTCTCTCCAGGACCATGTCTGCCACCCATCATGACAATAATGGACTAAACCTCTAAACTATAAGCCAATCCTGATTAAATGTTTTCCTTTATAAGAACTGTCATGGTGATAGTGTCTTTTCACAGCAATAAAACCCTAAGACACTTTTGGATATTACAATTTGGGGAAGAAGACATATTATTGCTGTGTGGTGACATCCTACAACACACAGCATAACCTTTGACAAATAATTGACCCAAAATATTAATAGTTTCTAAGCTGGGAAACCCTTCTATAAACCAAAATAGTTGTCTTAGTTAGGGTTACTATTGCACCATGACCAAAGCAACGTGGGGAGGGAAGGGTTTATTCAGCTTACCATTCCACATCACAGTTCATCATCAAGGAAGTCAGGACAGGAACTCAGGCAGGGAAGGAACCTGGAGACAGGAGCTGAGGCAGAGGCCATGAAGGGGAGCTGCTTGCTTACTTGCTTGCTTCTCATGGCTTGCTCAGCCTGCTTTCTTATAGGTCCCAGGACCACCAACCCAGGATGGCACCACCCACAATGGGCTGGGCTCTCCCCTATAAATCACTAATTAAGAAAATGCCCTAAGGGCTTTTCTACAGCTGATCTTATGGAGGTATTTTGTTCATTGAGGTTCCTTCCTCTCAGATGACTCCAGCAATGTCAAGGTGACATAAAACTATCTAGCAAAATAGGTTTCAAAGGTACACACCATTAGAGACACAATGACCCCCTGGAAAAACAGCATGTATTTTTTAAATATCAGAAAAACAATATAGGTTTTTCTAAGCCCTAACAACAATGTAGGAGCCTTCCTCCTCAAAATAACTTAAAAATCACAGCATACACAAAATCATTCCACTTGTTTTGTTTTGTTTTTAAGATTGTATGCACATCCTAGTATGTCATACAGCTATGGGAAAGATCAAAGTATAGCCTATACTACCAGCAAGTTCCCCTTTCAAACGAAGGAGGCAAGCTGCATGAGTCCCCTTAAAAACAGGAAAAACTAATCTATTATGCTAGAAACCAGAATACAGGTTACCATTAGGGGCTCAAACAGGGTACTGATTAGGAGTGAGCATAGCATACCTTTCTGGGTACTGCGGATTGAATTGTGGCCCTTCACAATTATGCCAATGAAATGACATACGGAAATGAGGCCTTTGGGAGGCAGTAAGTTTAAATAAAGTGATAAACGATGGGTCTGTAAGATGCACTTGGTGGCCTTCTATGAAAACATAATACAGGGCTTGCCTTCTCCCACCCACTCCTCCTCAGACATATGTCAAGGAGAGACCATGTGTGCACAGTGAGAACAAGATGGTAGCCATTATCAAAACCTCACCAGCACCTAACCATGCACAAACCTCCAATTTCTAAAGCAGTAAGATTAACAATTTCAGGAGGGGGAGTTGTGTTGGGTTCTTTCTTTTTGTACACTGTGCTTTATTTCATTCTGGCAAGTTCTTGTCATATAGCTAAACTGGCCTAGAAAACACAATCCTACCTCTGTTCTACAGAATGCTGGATTATAAACACAAAGGACAGCTCAAATTTCCGTTTAAACTACCCAATCCATGGTCTTTTGTTATCCTGATCTGATAAGGATGGCAGGGTAATGGGAAATTCTCTGTAGTCTCAATATACCCTGACCACAGGCATGAGCAAATATGTAGAAAAAAAAACGATGAGCCATATACTTAACAGTTATTAGAAGGAATAGTATGGAAAAAGAAAAACCACTCAGCAAGAAATACTGCCTTCAAATTCACATCTGTCCCCTGCCCTTAATCCTCAATGATCCTCAAATCCACACATGCCACCTAGCACTCAAACTCCAAGCTGGGTTGAGTCTCAGACATCGCCAGTGTACTTCTTCTCAAACATGTCACTGTCATACCACTATGTATCAAAGTGTAGTTTTTCAACCATCACCAGCTACCTTCCCCATTCCAGTATGGTCTCCGGTGTCCACATCTCAGGTTCTAACTCACTCCTTTCCTCTCCATCTGCACTTGACTTTAGATTGTTAGCTCACAAGTATTCCTCCCTCTGCTAACTCAGACACTATAATACCAATAATTTACTACACTTCATAGGAGGGATGTGTGAGAGAGAGAGAGATGATATGTTGTGAGTTCACTTATTCTTAAAATAGAAATTCATGTGAGTCCACTTTTGTTTATTCCACCACTATCACCATACTCCAAGCCACTTGCACAGGTCACACCATCACCAGGTGACACAACAGCCTCCAGGGCTGATTTCTCTGTTCCTAATATTGACCCCTTTGCTACTGGTATGTTTTCTGCCTAAAAGTGGGAATGAGCCTTTGAAAAAAAGGGCAGGGAATGTAGTTCAGTGGTATAACACTTACCTAACATGCTCAAGGCCCTAGCTTTAAATTTCAGAACTACAAAAAAAAAAAAAAAAATTATGTTGGGGGTGGGGGCTAAGCCTTCAATAACTCCCACATCTGTAAACTAAAGTCCAGCCAGATATGATGGTGTCTGTCTGTAATCCCAACTACTCAGGGGGCTAAGGCAGGTTATACTCAGCAACAGAGATGCTTAGCATGGATGAGGTTGGGTGTGCTGTGAGACTCCACCATCTGTCTGCCCCTGTACCAACAGCTGCCTTTCTGCTACACTCTTCCCCACCACTAAGTGCTTCAGTCATACGACCTCCTGTTTCTTCCAATTAAGCTAAACTCATGGCTGCCACTGGCTTCTACAGTCACCACTTCCTCTGCACCTACAGCACATTCATCCCTAAATGTTAACCAGGCTTATCCCTTACTCTATCCCATGTCTGCTCATGGGTCTCCTTTCTGAAGAAGCTAAGAGTCCAGCTAAAGCAGTCACACCGTCTCTATACTCTACCCCTCAGAATGGCACATCAATACCAGGCATACAACGACTTACTTGTTCATCTATTGTCTGTCTGCTAGCAGAGTCCTTGAATCTGGCATACTTGTTTTAGTTTTTGTTCTTTTTTTTTGTTTTGTTTTCCACAGCACCAATTCCTACTGCAATGAACAAAAAGTAACTAATACACCAAAGACACTCCAAAATTACTGGAAGGAGAATGACCTTTAGTGGACCTTACAGACTTAACACAGGAATTTAGAAAAGAAATTTCTGGCAGTGTTTGAGGTTTTTCTGGCAGTCAGCAACTATGTGTTGGGGGATTAAGCTACTACCTGACAGCAATGGTGGAATAAGTGTAAAGTGGTCTGAAGAGGCTGACTGAGCTTGAGGATTTGAGTTTGGATGCTTGTACCCAGGTATAAAGCTGAGTGCGGCAGGATAGACATTGATTGGTATCAGTCTGACCCCAGAGCTGGGGAAAGGATGTAGCTCACTGATACAGTACTTGCCTAACAAAGCCTTGGTGTCTCTCCCAAGCAGAAAAGAGGAGAAGGGGAAGGAGAATAAGGTCAGTGGCAGGCAAATACTGCTAGACTTATTTCACACACACGTCATCCCAGGAAACAGAGGCAGGAGGATCTAAAGTTTAAGGCAGGCCTGGAATACACAACAGAAAACCTGTCTTCCCTACCCCCATGATAAAAATAAAAATTTAAGTAAATAAAAATAAGCTGAGGAATCGTCTGGGGAGGAAAATAAAGGGGAGTTTGCAAGCTTTATGTTCTGTTTCAATAGATTATCAGACCATGTGAAGATGCTAAGTAGGCAGCTGGATACAGGTCAGGGAGAGGGGGCTAGGCTAAAAATATAAATACAGGCTCTTAGCCTAATACACAGGTATTTAAATGGATGAGCTCAGCATAAATTAAAAAAAATAACTAAATATCCCAAACAATCGGACAGTGGGAAAGGGTGGAAAAAAGATGCTTGGGTATTTTTATGGAATAAACGAATGTTCTTGGTACTGTTACAGGTTCGGGATACGGTGACCCCAGAAAGAACACAAAATGTGTCCCCAAACAGAATACCAGCGCTGACCTTTGCTTGTGCTGAAAGCCATCTATTGGGGGTAGAGGTGGGACAGAGTCTAACTTGGACCAAGCTGGCTTCAAACTCGCTTTGAAAGCGACACCATGCCCAACATGCTGTGTTTTTCTTTCAGAGGGGACCCAATATACTTCGGGGTCCCTTACAGAAAAGGATGCAAGGTACCCAGGGACAGGTGAGCCAACCCGAGTGGCAACCATTAGCAGCATCCTGTTGGATTATCAGCAGAGAAGAATTGACAAGGCTTCGCTGGGTTGTCTCTGGAAGGATGCCCCCCACCCCCCAAAGAGCGCAGGCAGGCCGGGTGACGCCGGGCAGCTCTGAGCGCGGGTGGGCGTGGCGATAGCGCGCCAGTGGGGAGGACCACGCTTGGAAGAGCCTAGTCACAGCACTCGGTACGGTGTCGCCGGCAGGCTTTCCCAGCTGCCTCAAGAAAGGAAGAGTGAGCCTCATGGCTACGAACACCGGATGAGGTTCCCGCCAGCCTCGGGGTCCTGCTTCGAGGTCTGGCCCTGAACCCTGGGTCACGCGATCACCCGCAGCTCGCTCTCCTTACCTGGCTCTGCCGCGGGTCCGCAGTCCACACCCGGCTGCTGCACTACGCCGCCGCCGCTTCTCGCGCCGCTCGCCCGCGCTTCCTGATTGGCGGAGGCGGTTAGCTCCCAGAAGCCCCTGCGCGTTGCGCTGCCAAACGAACTTTATAGAGACCTGCAAGAAACGACATGAACATGGGCGAGGCTGGGGCGGAGCCTGAGGCGGAGCTGTCCTTGCAAGTTAGTCCATCCTCCTCCCCGCCCACGTGGTTGGAAATGACAGTACCAGAAGAAGCATTTCCGCAGTTCCCCTAGCTGGGCAAACCCAGATAGCTCTGCAGAGTTCCAGTCAAGTGCCAAGGCTTGTTCTGAGCTCTGAGGACGCAGTGACTTCCACAGCAGACAAGATCCCTGACTTCAATCAGTTCTAAGCCTGACCAGGGAAAGAAAATATAGTAAGTAACTAGGAAAGCTAGGAAATGAAAAGCAAACCAATTGAAGAAAACTGTTGGATGGCCTGGGAAGGCTTCCACCTTCCTAGGTGACATGCTGACTAAAAGGTGGAAGACGAAAACATGTTTCGGGCTTTTAGGGGGAAAAGCCTGTAGTTTGGCAGCCTGAACAAGCTAGTAATTGGCCACCCCAACAGACCAATTACAGAAAAGAGAAATGCAAAGAGATTGCTTCAGTGTGGCCTTTTAGGAAGAAGAACAAAATGTGTCACTGGGATATGCTAGGACCTTTCTAGAGATTCTTAGTCTGGTAGGTAGAAGAAATTTAAAAACATACTCAGAAGGAAACTAAAGGCAATTTTGTTAGGGATTTGAGAGAAAAATAACAGAACAGGCAAATTACAGATCTCAGCAAACTGCTGAGAGAGACCTAGATAAGAGCAAGTTCTGAGTTAGAATTAGAATGCCAAAGGAGTCAGGCAGTGGTTGCACACGCCTTTAATCCCAGCACTTGGGAGGCAGAGGCAGACATATCTTTGAGGCCAGCCAGGTCTACAAAGTGAGTTCCAGAACAGTCAGGGCTACACAGAGAAACCCTGTCTTGAACAACCAAAACCAAGCCAACCAACCAGACAAAACAAGTGAATTCAAAAGAAGAGCAGCTTAATTCTGAGGATCTGTGTAGCACAAATAATAAAAATCCAGAAACAGATATTGGTGTTCAAGTTGAAGATCAGAAAAGCAAAGCAGCCAATCACTAGAGAGTTCTTAGCTCTACCAAGGCTGAATGATCCTGCCCTCAGCATGACTGCAGACTGAGACTCTGAGCTGCCGTCTCCTCCCACCTTATATTCCACTCTAGTGCTGGGATTAAAGGCATGCACCACCACTGCCTGGCCTCTATGGCTAACTAGTGTGGCTGCTGGGATTAAAGATGTGTACTATCACTGTCTGGCCTATATGGCTGACTAGTGTGACTAGCTTTGCACTCTGATCTTCAGGCAGGCTTTCTTTGTTACATCATAAGCAAAATATCACACTTCCCCTTTTTCTAATATAAAAAGAGTGTGATAACTAATATAAGAGAAAATATATACAATGAATACAATAACTATATACAATATATACAGGCAATAAATACATCAACAATGTCTAGTCCATTTGCATTTGACAAATTCAGAGAAATTACTCCATTATTTTTCCTACCTTGGTGAGTCCAATAGGTTGTACCTAATTCAGTTTCTAATTTGTATTATCAAATTATCTTTTAATGTCTCTCAACCTTTTACACTTTACACCTCTTTTGTGAGTTTCTTTTCTGAGTCTAGTAAAGAAGGAAAATGTAACTATCTAGTCTTAACTTCCTCAGAGACCAGAGAAGGAAATAATATTAACCGAGTAAGCAGGAAGTGCAAGCAAGTGACTTCCACAAATATGAGAAATGACAAAAACATCTGGCTGTCTGGACAGTCACCCAAGGTTCTTCTGCAATGTTGGGGTATCCATCTTTGGCCTATAAGCCTAGAATATCTGACAAACATTTCTGTGAGGCAGGATTTTTGAAGGACGGTCCTACCTTGTCTTGGCAAGGTTTGGCAGTCACTCTCTTTTGTGTCCTGCTTGTCCAATTTGGATAGCATACTGTCAGCAGTATGAGGCAAGGGAACTTCTTGCCAAGTGGCTTACTTTTGACACAAAGAAAGTAAACTCCATATGGAGTTTCTTCGATGCCCATCTTCTCTGTAGTATATTGGTGCTGCCAAGGGCAGACGTGTCTCATTGTCATAAAAAAGAACCTATGTTATTAAAACATCTTCAATGCCATATTCTGTAGATCTCTGAAGTGACTGAAGATTATCTATCTAAAATATATCTCTGTTTGACCTTGTAAAAATACCTAATATAACTACAAGTTTAATTGTAATAGATGACTAATTACTAACCTGCATTTCCTTATTATCCTATATAGTTGTTAATAATAACTTTCAAGAACTAGAAATCTGCATTACATTGTTAAATGAGCTGTATAGGTATAATACCTTTGACAAGATTAGAAATGCATGTATAGTATGCTTTAACAAGATTAATCTCAAATTTGTATCAATATACAAAATTTGTATATAATATACCAAAATCCAGTCCCGTGTAAAATATTTAACACTAGTAGTTGCTTTTTATAAATAGATTCAACAATCTACCTTTTTATCTTATCATATTTATATCCTCCCTTTTTTCTTTTCAGTATAGAAACAATAATCTATCATTTTATCCTATCATTCCTATGTCTTTTCTTTCAGAGTAGATTCAATAATCCACTCTTTTATCCTATCGTATACCTGTATCCCCTTTTTTCTTTCAAAACAAGAACTCCGAATCTAATCTCCTTGTTCAACTTTTTTCTTGATCATTACCAATAACAACTTGTAACCAACTATCCTAAACTATAACAAATACCCATCACCCATTGAATGACCAAAACGCACCACCCTACCTCTTGGGAATGTGGGTGTTGTGTTCTTAAAAGTACTTCCTGATGTCTGGGAGTGATGGCATCTTTAGGAGACCCTGAAAAAGTTGTGGTTAATTGTCAAGTCCTGGGAGACCTAGTTATATCATTTGTTGCCCAGGCTCCATGTAATGGGAAAGTGCAGAGCTTGCGCAAGTCCTGTTTAGAATTGTCTGTGAGACTGGATCATCTCAGCCAGCCACTGTGAAACTGTCCTGAGCAGTTTGTGGTCCAAAGCTGCTGATTTTTAAGTGATGTTTGTCAGCTTAGTGGTATGATCATAGTTCTGGTAAAATTGTCGTTGCAGGGACCATCATCCTTTTTGGAAACATCAACCATCTCTGTTAGACATGGTCATGGTTCACTGCAGAAAATTTAAACATTTTAAATGTAATATGAAGGGGAATGTTCTTCTGTGTATATGTTTCTTTTATTGGTTAATGGATAAAACACTGATTGGCTGATTGACCAGATAGGAAGTGACGTAGCTGGGCTGAAGCAGGATATAAGCAGGGACAATCAGGAAATCATTCTCTTCTCTGTGGAGACCCTGAGCAGTCATCATGTAGCAGGCAATGGAGTTGCAGGTCTGGCATTCCCCGTTAGATAAGACTACGTGGAAATACATGGATTAATAGAAAATAGGTTAATAATTAAGACAGAACTAACTAATAAGACACCCTAGACAGTGGTCAACAGTTTCATAATTATTATAGCGTCTGTGTGTTTTTTGGGGGGCAGAGAAGGGCAGCAGGAATTTCTGGGCCAGAAAACTCACATTACAGTCATATGCAGTAGATCTCAAAGAGGTTGAAGGATCAATATTTGCTATTTATATCCAGAATACAAAAACTTAATCCTTAGTTACCTGATAGAGACTCAAACCTGAAATCATGTTAAGGTAGCTAGATGAAGCCTTTTAAAAGAATTAGTTAGTACTCTATATGTTAATTGATATCATAACAAAAAGTTTAAAAACATATATATATATATATATATATATATATATATATTAATCTTATAAATTTTGAGATGAAATTTATACCTTAAAAAAAGTTTCAGTGAGTCAAAATAATACCAAAGGATTATGAGATTAGTAGCAATACAATAGTCACTTAATTTCAGGTTTTTTTTTGTCCCAGATCAGGCAGTTTTTCTGACATGAGACAGAGATTTTGGATTTTACTTTAACAAGCATTCATGGATTTAGAGAAGAGATCCACACTCCAACTGCAAAGCCAGATTTCATTTTTAATTGGACTGGCACTACAAAAAGACCATTCACATTATATGTCTGTAGAGAACAGCAGAAACAAACGTTTGGGAAGATTTTTGAAATTTTATCCTGTTGAAAATGTAATATAACCATAGGCCAAATTATTCTTTTTCTTGGTACTTGTTTTTTCGATGGTTTGTCCCTTTTCTTCGCATTTGTCCAGTGGTCTTCAGATACCTTAGCTGGATGCCTTCATTCTCCTGAAAGACAAAAAACAAAAACAAAAACCTGCCCCACCCTAACCTGTTTGATGAATTATCATCTCTTCTAATTAACAGGTCTCTCTTGTTCAAATATAATCTTTATCAATTTTGATTTATGGTTTATCCTGAAATTTTATTTTATTTTGTAAAGCTCTTCTATCATCCAGAGCAGTATGATTTATTATAATAGGCATTAGGAAATAATTGAACTGAATTTGACATGGGGGTGTGAAACAGGTCCCTCTAGGTGTTTCCTGATGCCAAAGTGTTACCTTGACAGTCCCTTATTGATCTACATTAATTAGTCCAAAGTCTGCCTTTGCCACAGCTTCTGAATAATCCAGAAGGGAGGGGCATTCTGTTTGGATCATGCTGAGAAAAAATATCATTTCCAGGAACTGCCTGTTTACATCAGTTGAAACACCTGATATTTCAGTTTTTCTTCAAACCTCTGGAATTCACCTCTCCTCTCCAAGTATTGTCATGGTCATGAGATTCAATATTGGTTTTTATCTCAGATCCATTCCTCCAAGGGTGCTGATCTTGCCTTTAATGGACTAATTACCATTTGCATTGTGTATTAGCATTTTCAAAAGCCAGAGATTCAATTATTTGTCTAGCTTCTGAATTTGGTATCATTCTATTTACTGCTAAAGTTATAGTCTTTGTAAAACAAAAAATTAATGAAAGTTTCTTTTAGGCCTTGTATAACTTTAGTAAATGACTCAATTTTCTTTCCTACTTCTTCAGTTATGACCCAAGCATTCAAAGCTGCTGCATGGCATAAAGCCAGGATGTGGTCATCAAATAGATATTGCCTTTGTATAGCATAGTCTCTCTCTCTCTAAGAAGTTGGTGTTGGAAGATTTCTATACCTCTAGCCCTACTTCATTGTTCAATGGTCTTTCCCTCATCTTTCCACCAGGGACTTCACTGTAATTGAGGAGCAGGCTCCAAGACTGCTGTAAACAAGTCTCTCAAGTCTTGAGGGATAATTCTATTGTAAGTTGACAGTGAGTTTAACGTCTGCTTCAAAATGGTGAGTGCATACCGTATGAGATTATCACTTCCTTGAATCTCCTTAAATTTAACAATTCCACAGGAGTTCATTCAGCTCTTATACAGGCTTAGGGATGTCTATTATTTGGCAGTTGTTCCTGTAAGGTCACTGAATGAAGTGGTTCTCCTTTAAATTCCTTTCTCTGGATCTGAATATCTCAATGATCTTTTTAAATGAATTTTTATAAAACTTGTATCTTAGCACTCATATTAACCAGCTTTTTAGTGACAAAACAAAAATGATAAAACCGATAATGTTTATAACTGACATTACATAAATTCCATCTAAATTATTCTCTCATTTGTTTCGTTTTCAAACCATCCAGCATATTCTCATTCAGAGACCTAACTCCTGCCCTTGTAATAGTATTACCCATTTTTTAATTTGGGAAAAACGTTCTCTTATAACTAATTCCTTCTTTAAAAATCCCGAATTGTATCCCAAATCTGCCAACGATGATAATTCAGATGACGGTGAAGTGTGAGGCTGACTGCTGCTTTGTAGAACAGTAGAAGCCCAAGCGGGTGTCAAGGCGGGTGTCACACCTAGTGTGATGGCAGCCTGAGGAGGGGGTCCAGAGAAAGCCTACAAAACACCAGAAGAAAAGAAGCCTGCAAGGGGGGATGTGCAAATCCTGCTAACTCCTGTGGCATTTGGAGCCAAACGCTTGTGGAGTTTGCTGCAGAGAAGTTGTAGCAGAAATATCCCAAACTTACTCAGAGGCTTAGGGAAAAATGAGAAGAGAACCTAGCCAGAGAGGCGGTGACTCCAATGGGAGCCTCTGTGTCTTCATCACGTGCCAGTGGCTGTAAAGCCTCGGGCAAGCTGCTTTTTGCCCATGTTGGGTGCCAGATGTAGCATGAATTTGAATTGGTCTTATAATAATAATAATAATAATAATAATAACAACAACAACAACAACAAACCCAGAGCCAGACATCAGGGTAAATGCTGAAAGATAAGGAAACAAAGTAGCAAGCCACAGCCACCTCTTACCTCACCAATGCCTCAGCCAAAAAGGAGATGAGCTCCTGTCGTCTCCACCTGCCTTTTCACTTCCTGTTTCCTCTTCCCATTTGCTGGGATTAAAGGTATGTGCCACCACTGCCTGGCCTCTAGCTGGTGGTCAGCTCTGCCCTCTGATCTCTAAGCAAGCTGTATTTGATAAAGCACAAACAAAATATCACCAAACTATCCTTTGTTAATTTATCCAGAGATGCTAAGGTCAACTGACTAGCATCATTACTTTCCTTATTTTTCCACAAAGTGTCAAAAGTTTCATATACAGAGTTACCAAATTCATTGCTGTTCACAATTGGTGAATTAAGATAATAGAATACATTTATCTCTGTAAGTTTGTACACTGTTCACACCATGGACTTTCAGTACTCTTTGAGCTCCCAAAAGAGGCTGCATTAACTGTAGGTGTTCGAAAATTGGAAAGGTACTTGAAAGATTCATCCCCACACTTTTGTTGCTCTAGAACCACTTCTGGTACCAAAATCTGCATTAGTCAGGGTTCTACACAGTAATATAATCATGGAATATAATCTCTCTGTCTCTCTCTCTCTCTGTCTGTCTCTGTCTGTCTCTCTCTCTCTCTATCTATCTATCTATCTATATATATATATATATATATATATGGTGGCTATGAATGGAAAATACAAGAATACAGTAGCTACTCAGTCCACAAGGCTGGATGTCTCAGCTGGTCTTTAGTATATACCAGAATCCTGAAGAAGTAGGCTCTAAAGTCAGTTGAAGGAATGGATTTGCTACCAAGGTGAGAGCAAGTAGGCAAAGAAGCAAAGCTTCCATCTTGCATGTCCTTATATAGACTTCCAGCAGAACGTGTGGCCCAGATTAGATCATGATGAAAGATATGGATTAAAACTGTGTCTTCCTGTCTCAATCATCTTCCCACTTCAAATTAAGCAGAAACCCCTCACATTTGTGCCCTACATTTTTAGGTTTTAGTTAATTCCAGATGTAGTCTAGTTCAAAACTAAAAATAAACATAATTCAATTAAGACAATCCATCTCCACTAAACTTAATTCTATTTTCCCCAAAGGGACAGCTCACATGGAATCCAAATGATGATGGATGGAATAATCCAGTCCTTGGCCCAGTTTTGTTCCAGGAAATGTCCTTTGAGCTCTTCAAACAGGGGAGCTGAAGGGCCCAGGGTTGATCTGTCCTGCCCTTCAAAGTCATCCTTGGACACACCTTGTGAAACCCCAGTAACACAGGAATTTTAAGGAAGAGGAGACTCACAACTTACAGCTGCAGAGACTGAACTTCCAGTTGTAAGGTAAGCTACAGAAGAAACAATACAGTGAGCAGGAGGCTAGTAAGTCCAGGTCCACTGTGAAAAAACTATTCCCTCCTTCTAAGTCCAGAACCCTCTCCTCATCAACAGCATTGGAGCTCAGCACTGGCTTCACTGGGACAACTAGTAAAGGCAGCATCTTAAGTGTCCCCTTAAGATGTAAAGAACCATGTGACAAGTTAGAGGTATTGCTGCTTTGGTGAGATTTGTGAAGCAAAGGCTACTTCTCCTGGCCAAAGAATGGAATCAGATTTCTACTTCAGGCTGGAATCATGGCAGTCTGATCTGCTTTAAATATAAGATCTTTACATATTGTTGTGTCTCCTCCCTTAGGAGTTATCCTAAGTGAGCCTGTCAATGGCCTCTCAGAATGCCCCCCCCCAAGGAAAGCTGATTCATTTGAAAAACAAAAACAAATGGAAGAATAACTGTCCAATTGATGAGATACTAGACTTACACTTCCTAGGAAATCCTCCCTCCATGCAGCAGTTTCTACAAAACTTCAAGCCAATCCTATTTTCTGATCTCCAACTCAAAAAGAAGAAAAGAAAATCACCTTTTTTTTCCCCTTTGCTTTTTCTTTTCAATTTGTTTTTGTTTGGGGGGGGGGACAGCGTTACTCTGTGTAATAGTCCTGGCCATCCTGGAACTTGCTGTGGAGAGCAGTCTGGCCTTGACTGAGATCCACATGCCTCTGCCTCCTAAGTGCTGGGATGAAAAACCTGAACCACCACTGCCCAGCTCCCAATTCCTTTTTGATCTTTAGGTGTCAGAGGAAATCCTTTGCATGTTTGGCCTGACATGCTGAACTGTCTGACTGTTTCTCTGAAACACAAAAACATAGAGCTTACACACACACACACACACACACACACACACACACACACACACACACACACACAAAGCACATACACACACACACACACACACACAAATACATAAACAGGCAATAATGAATACTGATATTAGAATCAGCCCTTTCTTCATGAGGTAGTAGGAGTGTCCTGAGCCCTTCCTCTGAAATTACTAATGGAAACTGCTGTTGGTAGGGAGTGTAGGGGGTTTGGAAAGACAAGGACACTAACAGTGAAGCACAGTACAAAGCCTGTGCAGATGACAACATGACCCTCCAACATGCTATTATTTTTACTTGAGGAGCTTGCTGTTAGGTTCTACAGGGCAGGTGCTGTCATTTGCCAGCCAACTTCAGGACTCCAGGGACAGACCCAGGTAGACTTGGGATGTTTGGTAGAAATTGTGTTATGTGAGATATGGTCCCTGCATGCACAGATGTGTTCAATTTATACTTCTGGAGTTTAAGGAAACCTCTGTTTCATCTGAAACAGCCTACCCACAGGAGGGAGGCTGTGCTTTAAAAGGGTATGTCATACAACTCCGGCTCTATCTTGTCAGAGCTCAGTGCTGTGGGAACACAGGACAATGTTGGAATGGTTGAGGCTTCCTGTGTGTGGCTCAGACAAAAGGACACAGGACTCTGTATATTCCATAAGCAGAATTTTTCTTTCCCATGCTGAGGCTAGGGGAGTTACTGGATCAGCATGTCTACATAAGGATGACTTGCAGTTGTTAATCAATGACAGGAGAATTCTTTCTGAGAGCCAATAATGCATGTGCCTCATCTGACCCAGGCTTCACAGGCTAAACCACCACTGGGACAGGAAAGGCTTCCTGGAAAGGGGACCAGAGTCACTGGTTGCAATGAGATGATATCTATTGTTTTGTGTTTGCTGAGGATTTTATGGTTTATGGAGGTCATGTGAACCTCCATGTGCAAATGCATTGATTCTGGTTCCTTTTTGAATAGGTTGATCATCTACAAGTCTGTGTTTATGATTATATACTAGATGTTACATAGGGCATGGATGCTAAATTCTAACTAGATGGAAAAATATTCTGACTCAAGCAGAGGACCCTCTTTGTGCTGAAAGTGGGAAAAATATTCTGACTCAAGCAGAGGACCCTCTTTGTGCTGAAAGTGAACATGGACTACATGCCCAGCTCTCTGCTAGGAACTGGTGTGCTGCCCTATAGTTCCATGCTGACCAGTTGCTGGAAACTTTCCAAGCAGGATTTGTATGAGTGTCTGAGTGTGTATCTCTCTCTCTGTGTGTGTGTGTGTGTGTGTGTGTGTGTGTGTGTGTGTGTGTGTATGTGTAAGAGAGAGAGAGAGAAAGAGAGAGACAGAGACAGACAGAGACAGAGAGACAAAGTCAGAGATAAGAAAGAGTGTTTTACCTATGTGTCCATTTGTATGTGTAGTTGTTCATACATCCAATCATCAACCTCAAGATTCTCTTCTCTTTGGCTTCCACCATGATTGTTGAGAAAATCTGTCACCAAATCTGGAGCTCATCAGTTCTCCTAGACACCTTGCTGAGAATCTCAGGAGTAGGGATTCCCACAATGTGCTGGTGCAGCCAACATTGGATGTGAGTGCTGGGGCAAGGATGCAGATCCTTATATTTTTATGACAAAGGCTTTGCCATCTGAGGCATCTTCCCAACACAATCCCCTAGAACCCACTTTCTTAAACCCAATGGTCACCATGAGGGTTTCTCTCTGTCACTCTTATGAGCTGGGTGTTTGTGATAATGTGGACGTCCATATCCAATTCCCCAGTACAGAGGCTAAGTGTTTTCTGTCTGTCTGTGTCAATGTGACTTGGACTGTGCACTGACCAAAAGATGAACAACACTAAGAAATTTTCTGCCTCTTGGTCAGAACTGTCATCAAAGTGCTAGAGGTTTAGCCATGTGGAGTCAGCCTGGCTCCTGGTCTCCTTATTCTTACCAGGAAATGTCTCTTCTGAGGCACTGTTGTGGCTCTAAGGACTGGGAATTGCAGGTGACCATGGGGTCCATTGATACTTCTCATCCTATGACACTGTTTCTTGGCTTTCTGACTTTGTCAGTGTGTCTGTCTGCTATGAGGGACCTAAGTTACACTCCGTGAGTTGAGAGCATTCACAGGGATTTCAAGTCCAGAGGAGATCCCTTCTTCCACATCTTGACAACACATTATGCCATGGGCTAACCTTATTGAATGCTGTAAATATGTATCTCTCTCACTGGTTGATGACCAACCTGAATTGACCTATAACAAGGCAGGATAAGGCTAAGAGGAAAGCAAATGAAGATACAGGGAGAAATAAGGGTCATGAGAGTCATGAGCCAGCTGCCCAAGAAACAAGATGCCAGAGAACAGGAAGAGCCACAGCCATGTAGCAATACATAGATTAATAGAAATGGTTTAACTTAAATGTAGGAACTATTTAGTAATAAGCCTGAGCTATAGGACAATTTTTTAAAACATATATAAGCTTCTGAGTGATTATTTAAAAGTGGCTTCAGGATGGGATGTCATAGAGAAATCTCTGCTTGCACGTGGTGCCTAAGGTGGTGCAGAAATTTCCACATGAGACTTTTAAAAGCTTAACAAATGGTTCTAAACACATAAGCATGGGGTTAAATGCAGCTTATTGGGAACTGTCTTTTCTCTGGTAGGCTCAGTTTGCTGTTGGCTCACAGAGCAAAGGCTCCTTTTAAAGAGCAATTTCCTGGTTTGTGCTGGTGGCAGGAATAAGACTTTTGGGATGTCCTGCCACGAAGCACTTGAATGGTTTTTATAGGTGTGCTACTTGGGGACAGAGTTGACCCAACAGCTTCCCGGAGTTGGGGACTGATAAACATGATTCTTGTTTGGACCTCCACCATGAAGTATGCTCTTGAGAACTTGCATGGGAGAAGCCAGCCGACAAAGGCAATGATTTGGTCCTAGCCACTCCTGCTTAGCAGTTTAAAGGCTCATGTCGTCAGAAAAAAGAAAGAAATACACAGTAAAAACAGATTCAGGAAAATGAAACCTCTGAAAGTGTTAAAAAATATTTAAAATATACTTAGGTTTGGGAGAGGCAAAGAATGAGTAGAAACAGTCATAGATTTAAAAACAAATAAGCAATATAAAACCTAAGCCACATAAAAATGGAAAACACACATAGTGCTTTCTTAAATTTTATAACTGCCACTAGACCTTGGATTATGGATAGTGCTATATGAAACAAAGCTGCACATTGTAAAACTATCTCGACTTCAAAATGCAAAACAAAACATATATTACTTTGGAGGAGAGGTTGTGTTTTTATTTCCACATGGAATGAGAGGCTCTGGATTCAGTCTGGGTTAAAAAAAAATCAGGTTTGATAGAGGAAGGCCCCTTGAAATGCTGTCTACAGACATAAAGAAATAAACTAAAGTAATCTTAAAGAGACCTGATGTCTATTTTACCTGCTCAAACACATAACAAGGGGTCATCTTTGATTGGCTTGTGTTCAATGCATAGTGTTTCTTATATTAAAAACAGGTATGTATGTTCCCTTTAAATGTTTCTGTCCTTTCAGAACTAGGGAACCAGACACCAATAAAAATGATGGGCCAGATCATCCACCATCCAAAATAGCTTGGAGATTGACTGAGCTGATCCAGTCTCACAGACTACTACTAGGGGACCCTCAAAGATCAGCAGTGTCTACCAATCATCAGGAAATAGTCTAGACAACTACATCCAAAATTCCCAAAATACTGTTTATAAATGTTTTCATTTAAGGGGAGTTGAATATAAATTGTTATTGGTCATAGTCAATGTCTTTCTAAAAGAAGAAAGGGAGATATGATATAGAAATTTATGGGGGAAAGGGTAGACTATTGAATCAACTTTTATCCAAAAACAACTGTTAATCTCCAAATGTTTTACATTGGTATGGATTTTAGTTTATCAATATACGTTTTGGGTTAATTTTGTTATACTCTATGTAGATTCCTACTCTTGTTTAGTTTAAGATATTTTGTTTCTGTAGCTCAATTAAAAATGTAAGTTATGCTCTGCTCCTGTCCTTTTCCTACCCAACTTCCCATTCACCCAGAATCTCTCTGGGCCTGAGCCTGCTTAGAGTAGACCCACCCAGG